CGATCAACTGACACAGATAAGAAACTAATGATAAATGGTATTAAACTAGAGCGAGTATCTGAAATAAAATTCCTCAGGGTAGTTATTGATAACAAATTAAGCTGGAAACCTCACATAAAGTATATTAAAACCAAAATATCCAAGTCATTGGCAGTGTTAAATAAAGCCAAGGACCTGTTGAATCAGGCTTCTCTAAATATGCTGTACTGCTCCCATACAGTCCCATGACTTATTGTGTGGAAGTATAGGGGAACACTTATAAAACAAATACATACCCAGTCTTCATCTTACAAAAATCAAGCCATTCGAATCATACATAAAACTGCATATAGAGAACCAACAAACCCATTGTTTATTAAACTCAAAATATTAAAGTTCAAAGATCTGATTGACTACAAAACTATTCAAATAGTTTTTAGAGCACACAAAAACCAATTGCGTAGAAATATCCAAGAGCTTTTTCAATTACGAGAAAACACGTACAATATCAAAGTTTAGTAGACCGCTAATTCGAACAAATACTAAGATCCACCGTATAACCCAGCGTGTTATCCTGTGGAACAACAGCAATAATGATTTAAAATTATGTAAAAACTTATTGCAATTGAAATTTATATTTAAAAAAAGAATCCTTGATGGATATGAGCTGGAACAGTGATTTTCTGTTTTGATTTTTTTCTTTATTTAGTTAAGTAAGTTACATAGTTTAAGTAGTTAAAACATATCAGTGAAGTGGGGATAGGACAAGAAAAGTTATTCTAACTTCTTCCTACCCCCTTTGAACATGACTGTTATTTGGACCATATGCAGATGATCTTTTTTTGTTGATTGTTTATTTTTATTCAGTTTTTGTTGTTGTCTTTTAACATGTTCAATAAAGAGTTTAAAAAAAAAATAAAAAATCAATGCGCAACTAACGTTAATGATTTTAACCAGCACACTGTGCTGCACGGTGGCGCTCAGCAAGCGTCCGCTCCTCAAACATCAAAGTTAGTTGACAGGCGGCTGTAGGTGACGGTGAAAGCAGCGGAGCAGAGCAAAAGATGAGCGCTAAGCTTCAGTCAGGCAGTAAATGTACAGATTAGGTCACAGCGTGTCCGTTAATTAAAGTCTGTCGTTTTCTAACTACTGGAAAAGTGAAGGCGGTTAGCATTAGCTAACATCTCCTCTTCAGACTGCTGTCTGGAAGCTGAGCAGGACGTTTTATGGCTGCTGTAAAGTTTGTTTGTTGTCATTCATCCACGTATCAAGTACACAGATGAATGAATTGCTGTTTCTGAAGGCCCACGGTGCTCAATACAAGATTACAATAATCAACATGTAACTACACCAGACAAGAGACAAAAACAAGATCAGATATATTAAGGCGGAGTGAACGTGGTTTGGCTGGAGCGTAATGTTCAACCCCCATCTGACTCTACCACTCTACCGCCAGAAGGGGGTGCCTTAAACCTGCGTCCTCTTTAGCAGCCAGCAGGGGGCAACTTAAACCTGCGTCCTCTCTAGCAGCCAGCAGGGGGCGACTTAAACCTGCGTCCTCTCTAGCGGCCAGCAGGGGGCGCCTCAAACCTGCGTCCTCTCTAGCGGCCAGCAGGGGGCGACTTAAACCTGCGTCCTCTCTAGCGGCCAGCAGGGGGCGCCTTAAACCTGCGTCCTCTCTAGCGGCCAGCAGGGGGCGACTTAAACCTGCGTCCTCTCTAGCGGCCAGCAGGGAGCGACTTAAACCTGCGTCCTCTCTAGCAGCCAGCAGGGGGCGACTTAAACCTGCGTCCTCTCTAGCAGCCAGCAGGGGGCGACTTAAACCTGCGTCCTCTCTAGCGGCCAGCAGGGGGCGGCTTAAACCTGCGTCCTCTCCAGCAGCCAGCAGGGAGCGACTTAAACCTGCGTCCTCTCCAGCGGCCAGCAGGGGGCGACTTAAACCTGCGTCCTCTCCAGCGGCCAGCAGGGGGCGCCTTAAACCTGCGTCCTCTCTAGCGGCCAACAGGGGGCGCCTTAAACCTGCGGGGGCTACAAGCTGATTGTCAAGTCTCTACCTGTCAATCAGGATAGAGGCGACTCGTATCCGCTGCTCTGTGTACATTTAACCAGCGGCGCTGAAAAAGCTTATCAGGAGTCGGCTGCTCATTTTTCAGTGAGTGCGTTTTGTTTTAAGCTAACGTGAATTACAGATGCACCTTGCTAACCAAGCTAGCTAGCTCCACCCTAATCCACAAACCAAAAGGTGACGTCACGGCGGCTACGCACACTTCTTTTAGACGATGATGTGATATAAATGTGAACAAAATAACAGAAACACTAAGCTGACTAACTTCTTACACCCAACTTATTTCCAGGACGATTACAAAGAAAATATCAGGAGTTCTGTCTGTCATCCGAGAACCACCTGTCAGGACTGACACTGATTTTAATGAGATTTATGACTCATGGCCTTTCTAACAGCCGGCAGCTCCTGGAGGATTTTCTAGATAAACACATGATTAAGTTGCTCAAACACAGAAATCTCCGGAGAGCTTTCCTGCTTCAGACCAGCTGTAAATCTCATTAGTTTAGGTTTTCTGGCTGCTGGGAGTTCAGTGACAGAGGCAGGTGATATTATTACAAAGACAGATCGTACCTGCAAACTTATTAAATTAGATTGATGAGATACATGAACTGTAATTTAGGGACTGATCTGAGCTTCGGGATCAGTCGTTAGGACGGGAGGACGTCCTGATTACAAGGATGTTGGACTGTATTTAATGAGACACGGTGTACTGAATTTAGATAGTCAGCAAGTCTCAACGTGATGGTCAGGAGTCAGCGACATTTCTGAGCGTAGATCAGAACAGATGAGGAGAGGAAGTGTTACTTGGGTGTATTACTTCTATCACATCCTCTCTTTTTTTATTCGCCAAAATTTCTGCCTCAGAGATACTTTGACCATTTTTAAACATTTCTGGTGTTTCCACTTCATTTTTTATTTTCATTTGATTACATGTACAACACCACAGTGGAGAAATACTCTGTTACAGGTAAAAGTCCTGCAAATGTTATTTAAGTAAAGGTACAACAGCATTAGCATCAAAAAGTAACAGAAGAAAATGTACTCATTATGCAGAACAGCCCAATTCAGAATAATATCTATTATATTATAGGATTAAAAGTATTGATTCGTTAATGTTTTAATCACTTTAATGTTGCAGCCAGGGGTGATTCTAGAATCAGACCTTTAGGGGTGCTCAGCCCCCAATGAGAATGTAGCATGCATAAAATGCCTTGCAGAAGTGGTCACTAATTGGTGGAGAGTATAGTTGGGCCTACTAGAGAGGAGCTGGTGCAGAGCGGAGCAGGTCAGTCTTTGTGTTGAAAAGTGGTGGTGACATCAGGGCTCAGATTAGACGCGTGATGATACATTTGGGTCTAGAGACGTGACAAGAAGACAAGAACTAGACAAGAAGGGGGTCTGGGGGTCCTCCCCCTGAAGATGTTGAGCATTTAACTGGTAATTTCCTGCATTCTGGAGACATTTTCTGCTCTAATTTATGGTGGAAATGTCTGTTTTTATATGAGGGGAAGTTATATTGCATTGCAGGTTTTCTTATTGTGCAAATCAACCTTTCTCAAAGATTTGTCATTTGTTAGTTAACATTTATTGGTGCAAGCGGTTTTTCAGGAACTGTAATAATATTACTTTTCCCAGGAACTAGTAGTGTAATTATAGTATTACACAGTATTACAGTTACTAATCCAAGTAACACTGCAGTACTGAGTTACTGACTGCACCATCCTTGGAGTGAATGTGCCCTGGACCTGATGTTATTCAAGTCAGCTAGCAAAGTTAAAGGAAGAATGGAGAACGAGGGAAATGGACGTTTTCTTCGCCTTCTTCTCTGTTGCGCATGTCACACCACCCTGCGGTGCAAAAGGTTTTGGATTGAACTCGCCCAAGATGGAAAGTAAACTCCTTTGATCAGCGCCGTTCTCAATCAGAATTCAGCAACAACGGGGATCAGTCCAAGTTGGGAGGGGCCGCTCGTATCTCCCCTCAATATCAAAAGTATTGGTTTGGCCCAGACTGGCGGCGACACAAACAGCGTCCTGCAGCGGCTGACCGGTCAGCCAGCGCGGTCACGGATCCTTATACACCATTAGTAGGCTAAGTGGTTGTCCCTTCTCTTACTTCTCCAAAATCTTACATTAGAGGACAAAAAAATATTTTCAGAATATAATAATAAATTATTGTATTATTTTTAGGGTTGCTTAGATGAAACTTAGAGGGGCTTTCAGCTCCCCTAAAAATTGTCTAAAATTGCTTCTGGTTGTAGCTGGTGAAGATGGAGGTCATTTTAATCACCAATATATTGCCGGGTAGTGTATACTTTAATAATACTTGGTCATTTATTAGCTGATTGTTCTTTGTATTAACAATTTGAATCTGAAGCTGCCAGATAAATGCTGTGGAGTGAAAGTATAAAGAGTATAAAGCTGCATAAAATGAGACTCAAGTAAAGTAAAACTACCTTAAAGTTGTACGGGCTGTTTGTTACGGAGGCTAGCTACATAACTTTTTAAAGACTGGGGAGGGAAAACTTCTAAATGGTTTTATTTTGTATCTTTTCATGTTTTTTACTTTTATATATTATATCAAACTTATCTCCCACACCTACCTGAACCTCAGTGGAAGATCTTCTTCATAGAAAAACACTCCATTTACACCTGGTTTTAAAACATGGTGCCCAGACTACAAACGATCCGACCTTTCCGTTGGTATATTTAATGAGTTCTTGTTCTCCGCATTGAGATCGGATCTCTGTTCCAGAGCAAATCCTGTGTCTGTGATGAATTCTTAATTATGTGTCCCTTCTTGTAAATTCAGCAAAACTAAAACATGAAGTCATTCCTTTCTTTGTATAAACATAATCAGTTTGTCCCAGTTTGTTGCAGTACTGGTGTGTAAGATGCTCTGTGACTTGATAAATTATATGCTAAACTCTAATGTGATGAAGAAGTTGTTTTCTCACCGTGCAGCTCAGACTCTGACGCCTCGCTGTCATCCTGCTCCTGGATTGGCTGCGACCCGCCTGGTGACCCGTCATCCTGGATACTGATTGGCAGGCTGTGACAGGCGCAGTCCTCTCTGCTCTCCTATTGTTTGGAAGAAAAGTGCTGATTGACTTCTTTTAAGTGGAGATGGTCTCACTTCAAACACCAACTGACTCACAGAGACTTTAAAATGGAAATATTCAGAGGAGCTGTCAGCTGTTGAGGAGGCGGGTAGCTAATTAACCTGCAAGGGGATTAATTAAACTTAATTCCATAAAGAGAAGCAGTCTGGGGAGTAAATGCAATATAACTGTAGTTAAATTCAGTGAGTACGTCTTTTCTTACATTCAGAACATCCAGGCTGACTTTCTCAAAATGGCGGCTCCTCAGTTCCCTCCTGCGGGTGTGGATCTCCTCGTATTTCTCCTCCGCCAGTTTCCTGTCGGGACAGAAACCAAATGAATGAGAGGGGAAGAATCCTCAGGACCTTGAAGTAAGTCCAAACTAAGCCAAAACCTAAGAGCCTTAAACCTGCGTTCTCTCCAGCAGGGGGCGCCTCCAGCGGCTGCAGAAAGAAGTGTGATTGTATAGAAGTCTGTGAGAAAATGTTTCTACTTGTCAGCTGATTTATTCCCTCAGTAAACTCTTTCCTGATGAGTTTCTGGTCTCAGTCGCTAGTTTCAAGTCTTCTTCAACACAGAATGATGTTCATAAATTATATTCCTGGGAATTAAAGGTAGATAATACGAAATACCAAATGCTGAATGTTTAAAAGTGATGTTGTGAGATTTTTGTGCACTATTATGATTGTACTCGTTGCATGTTGTGGGATTAACATGTGATGTGTATCTGGATAATGACAGCAGCATCACGGGTCTTTGCGTTTACACCTGCTGTTTAAATGTCTTCTCATTATCTCCACTGTCTCAATATGAAAATTAGTTAGCTGGGCTGGTTGACTCGTCAAGAAAGAAAGGAAAGTCTTCTGCATTGAATCTGTCGTAGCCAACGGCGTAGGCTACAGCATTTATCCTTGTGCGTTAGTGTCTGCGTCGGTCTGCAGTTACAACACCAAAACGCTAGTTGGCGGTGCGGTATCTGTGTTCCAATGTGTTGAGTTTCTTCTTCTTCTTTGTTGGTGTAGGCTGCTACAAACACTGCGCAAGTGAAAGTGAGCGGATCCTGTTGGAGTTGGAGCAGATCGATGTTGAACAGCAGTTACTTTTAGTGAAATGACTAAAATGCAGAAAGGAGAGAAGGCATCAGAGGAGATGGTCTGTACGACCCTTGAACCGGTTGAGGCAAAAGAAGGAGGACAAGCCGGAAATGCATGAGAGGAAATGTGATGTGTTTTTGCCGCAACGTGTAATTACATTTTTGGGGAGGTAAGGCATAGGGTAGTGCGTAGGTTAGTGCGTAGGGTAGGACCAAGGGTAGAGCGTAGGGTAGGGCGTAGGGTAGGTGTAGGGTAGTGCGCAGGGTAGGGTAGGGCGTAGGGTGGAGGGCGTAGAGTGGAGGGCGTAGGGTAGGGCGTAGGATGTAATGTAGGGCGTAGGGTAGGGGGCGTAGGGTAGAGCTTAGGGTAGGGTGTAGGGTAGTGGGCGTAGGGTAGGGTGTAGGGTAGAGCTTAGGATAGAGTGTAAGGTAGGGCGTAGGGTAGAGTGTAAGGTAGGGCGTAGGGTAGGGGGCGTAGGGTAGGGTGTAGGGTAGGGCGTAGGGTGGTGGGCATAGGGTAGGGCGTAGGGTAGTGCGCAGGGTAGGACGTAGTGTAGGGCGTAGGGTAGGGGGCGTAGGGTAGAGCTTAAGGTAGGGCGTAGGGTAGGGTGTAGGGTAGAGCGTAGGATAGAGTGTAAGGTAGAGTGTAAGGTAGGGCGTAGGGTAGGGGGCGTAGGGTAGGGCGTAGGGTAGAGCATGAGGTAGGGCGTAGGATAGGGTGTAGGGTAGAGCGTAGGATAGAGTGTAAGGTAGGGCGTAGGGTAGGGGGCGTAGGGTAGAGTGTAAGGTAGGGCGTAGGGTAGGGGGCGTAGGGTAGAGTGTAAGGTAGAGCGTAGAGTAGGGCGTAGGGTAGGAGGCGTAGGGTAGGGCATAGGGTAGGGTGTAGGATAGAGTGTAAGGTAGGGCGTAGGGTAGGGGGCGTAGGGTAGGGTGTAGGATAGAGTGTAAGGTAGGGCGTAGGGTAGGGCGTAGGGTAGAGCATAGGGTAGGGCATAGGGTAGGGTGTAGGGTAGAGCGTAGGATAGAGTGTAAGGTAGGGCGTAGGGTAGGGCGTAGAGTAGAGCATAGGGTAGGGCGTAGGGTAGGGCGTAGGGTAGAGTGTAAGGTAGGGCATAAGGTAGAGCGTAGGGTAGGGCGTAGGGTAGGGGGCGTAAGGTAGAGCGTAGGGTAGGGCGTAGGGTAGGGGGCGTAGGGTAGGGGGCGTAAGGTACAGTGTAGGGTAGGGCGTAGGGTGGTGGGCATAGGGTAGGGCGTAGGGTAGTGCGCAGGGTAGGACGTAGTGTAGGGCGTAGGGTAGGGGGCGTAGGGTAGAGCTTAAGGTAGGGCGTAGGGTAGGGTGTAGGGTAGAGCGTAGGATAGAGTGTAAGGTAGAGTGTAAGGTAGGGCGTAGGGTAGGGGGCGTAGGGTAGGGCGTAGGGTAGAGCATGAGGTAGGGCGTAGGATAGGGTGTAGGGTAGAGCGTAGGATAGAGTGTAAGGTAGGGCGTAGGGTAGGGGGCGTAGGGTAGAGTGTAAGGTAGAGCGTAGAGTAGGGCGTAGGGTAGGAGGCGTAGGGTAGGGCATAGGGTAGGGTGTAGGATAGAGTGTAAGGTAGGGCGTAGGGTAGGGGGCGTAGGGTAGGGTGTAGGATAGAGTGTAAGGTAGGGCGTAGGGTAGGGCGTAGGGTAGAGCATAGGGTAGGGCATAGAGTAGGGTGTAGGGTAGAGCGTAGGATAGAGTGTAAGGTAGGGCGTAGGGTAGGGCGTAGGGTAGAGTGTAGGATAGAGTGTAAGGTAGGGCGTATGGTAGGGCGTAGGGTAGAGCATAGGGTAGGACGTAGGGTAGGGCGTAGGGTAGAGTGTAAGGTAGGGCATAAGGTAGAGCGTAGGGTAGGGCGTAGGGTAGGGGGCGTAAGGTAGAGCGTAGGGTAGGGCGTAGGGTAGGGGGCGTAGGGTAGGGGGCGTAAGGTACAGCGTAGGGTAGGGCGTAGGGTAGGGCGTAGGGTACAGCGTAGGGTAGGGGGCGTAAGGTAGGGCGTAGGGTAGGGGGCGTAAGGTACAGCGTAGGGTAGGGCGTAGGGTAGAGTGTAGATTTGTTTCCCTTCCCCTGACTACTTCTATAAACTGAACTTGCCTTATAAGTCACTTCTGTCTCTCAGTCGTGCTTCTGGGTTCACTCCTGTTTAGTTTCAGAGGTATAAATTGGCCTTAACAATGTTTCTGCATGTAGCTTTAGCTGGGCTTGCTTGAGTCAGCAGGAAGGAATGGTTGATCCAATCAGCGTTAACATCTGAATGTGTGTTTTTCTTTATTCAGATGTCCAGATCCAGATCATATGTTGATATGTAAAAAAAGGGCTATCACAAGAAACGTATTTTCATCAAAGCTGTTTTTGTTGCTCCCTCATGTCTGTCCTGGTTTATCAATTAGCAGCAGTCATCAAACATCACGACTGGTAATTGTTTCTGCACATCATGAGCCGCTGTGTGTCATGAGGCTCAATATGATGCTGCAGTGAGCGAGGACGAGTAAAATCCCTTCATCCTCACATCTGTTCCTTCCTGTTGGGAAGAGCAGAAATGAGAGAAGATTCTGCAAGTGATGGAGCCAAGTTAATTTATTCCCAGTCTGTGTTTAACTGGTGTAAAATCTGTCTGCCCACCTGTCTGAATGAACACATGTTCAGGTCGTGTATCAGATGTAACAGACTGCTGTCGGCTCGTCCTCTGATGAGATTGCCGTCTGACTGAATCAGCTCTGTGTTGGCGGCGTGTCGGTCTTGTTCTGACGAGTCATTGCTGATTCAGACTAAATCACCCAATGAGGAACGATAAACTTCTAAGAGGCACTCACAAAATGAATCTCAATTAACACAACGGCTCAGAGGGACAGAAGAAGAGTTCTGCTAACTTGTCTTGAAAACTACAGCTGGTTGGAACATAGCGGTCTATCTCTCATTTAAACAACACACAACTGTAAAGTCAGATGAAATTATAACTTAATATATATTAAAGGATAGGCGGAGTCTGCAGAGAGGCTACACGCCAGTCCCAGACATAGACGGTATAAAAAATGTGGCGTCACCCGTTGGTTTTTGGACTAACGTTTTGAAGCATCGCGTTTGGCTTTTTGGCAGCCGCCATGTCATTTTTTTGCAACTATGCACTAGACGCTAGTGTTGTAGTCAAGACCGCCCAAACCGAGACCAAGACCAGAGTTTATCGAGTCTGAGACAAGACCAAGACTATTAGGGGTTGAGACCAAGTTGAAACCAAGACCAGTTCCCCACATTACATGACACACAATAAAATGTGGAACGAGATCATTGCTGCTTCAAAAAACTGATTTGAAAAACTGATGTAAATGCTGGAGAGGACGCAGGTTTAAGTCGCCCCCTGCTGGCCGCTAGAGAGGACGCAGGTTTAAGTCGCCCCCTGCTGGCTTCTAGAGAGGACGCAGGTTTAAGTCGCCCCCTGCTGGCCGCTAGAGAGGACGCAGGTTTAAGTCGCCCCCTGCTGGCTTCTAGAGAGGACGCAGGTTTAAGTCGCCCCTGCTGGCTTCTAGAGAGGACGCAGGTTTAAGTCGCCCCCTGCTGGCTTCTAGAGAGGACGCAGGTTTAAGTCGCCCCCTGCTGGCTTCTAGAGAGGACGCAGGTTTAAGTCGCCCCCTGCTGGCTTCTAGAGAGGATGCAGGTTTAAGTCGCCCCCTGCTGGCCGCTAGAGAGGACGCAGGTTTAAGGCGCCCCCTGCTGGCTTCTAGAGAGGACGCAGGTTTAAGTCGCCCCCTGCTGGCTTCTAGAGAGGACGCAGGTTTAAGTCGCCCCCTGCTGGCCGCTAGAGAGGACGCAGGTTTAAGTCGCCCCCTGCTGGCCGCTAGAGAGGACGCAGGTTTAAGGCGCCCCCTGCTGGCCGCTAGAGAGGACGCAGGTTTAAGGCGCTTCAGCATTGGCTTCAGTCGTTTCCCAGTTCCTGTTTGGTCCCAGTGGAGAGGAACCGATAGAAACCAGGTCAGAACAGAGTCTATTAATGTGTGTGTGTTACCTGAGTCTCCCGGCCTTCTCGTCAGCAGCCTGCAGTTTGCGGAGCCTCATTCTCTCTCTGGGCGTCATCTTCTCCACCTCCGACTTCTCTCTCAGCGTCTGCAGGTGAACCTTCGTCTGCCTGCAGACAACCACACACATACACACCTGTCAGTCATCTGGAACGGTCCAATCAAATTGCAGCAACTAAGTGTATTTAGCCAAAGTCCTTTTGGGCAAGTCCTGCCACTCGGCCGACCATCTTGGCAACGCCTCCAGGCCGCTATTTCGGACTAACAAGACCAGACTGCTATCTGAATGAATGGGCAGAGAGCCAGAGCTGCACTTTCTCTGGTCACCGAGACACAAAAACTGCATGAACAGAATCAGCAGGAAAATCTGATAAAAATCGCTGTTAAAAGCAGACGATTGGCTTTCTAGCGGTAGGGGCAGGATAACCGCCATCTTTACAGTTATGGGCTTTCCCCATAGAGTTGTATTGAGAATGTGACTGAGTAGCGTGTCTCCTCTAAAATGTCTCTGATTCAGCCAAGTACTGTACTAAAGTACAATTTTATACTTCTACTCTCCTTCATCTCAGAAGATTTCATTAAAATAGTTTGAGGCCCAAAGAGGGAAAAGATCAAATATTTAACAAATAAAACGCACAGATTAGAAAAAAAAACTCTAAACCAGTAATGCTAATTCATGAATCCGAGCTTTGTTCCTTCGTTTCTTTCCTCTCCCATGAATCATCTCAGGACCCCTATGTTGAGAACCACTGGACTGAACTAGCTGACTGTGTATAAAGTAGTAAAACTAGCTCCACCTCGAGCAGCTACAATAGTGAAATTATCAGTACTAAGATTCTAATGATGTATAATCAGTAACTCTACTGCTGAACGAGTACTTTTACAACTGATATTTAAGGAGGCTACATTTTGCTAAATATATTTATATACTTTTACTTAAGTAAAATTACGAATGCAAGGATTTTACTTGTAATAGAGTATTTTTACATTCTGGTATTGGTGCTTTGACTTCTTACTAGATCTGAGTCCTTCCTCCACCTCTGTATATTCTTCTTCCTCTCCTAAAGTCTGCCAACATGGCCGCTGCCAAAACAGAGAAACTGTAGTTTCCTGTGTGTTGTTAAAACCGACCTGCGTGGTTTGAGTTGGTTAACACTTCAACACAGCTACTCACTGAAGAGTGTGTGTTCAGAAGTAATAGAGTGTGTTCTTGAGAGGGCTGAGGCAAAGAACTAGGCCTGCACGATTAATCTAATTGCAATCGCGATGTTGTCATGTGCGATTACATAACCGCAAAAAGTGCACGATTTAATAAAACAGAGAAGGTCTGAAGCGGTCAGACAGAAAAATGGGAGAAGATAAGGAAAGTTTGGGTTCGGCTCGCTGCCATTTAACGTTTTAATGCTGTAACGGTGCCTTTTGTTGTTCAACGTTTCATTAAACCGACGTGCCTTTAACACTAGAACCGCCAGGGTTTGTTGTATACCTATAACCGCCATAGCAGGTAAAATTTACCCGCTATAAAAATGCTGTGATTTTATGATTATTTCTGCTACATGTTGCTCCAACACACTTTGGGAAACATTTAGCACATTGGCTGTGCATTTCCTATAAACACCATCCCCATATTTCAGGCATTTACACAATGTTTATTCTATTTTATTCATTGTCTTCACCGTGCAGGTTGCACACACGGCGGCTCTTTTGATGTGATCCACTCGCCGCTGTTATAGATGTTATAGCCTAGTTATATTGAATTTCAATGCAGCATACAATTTACAAAAAAGACTGACTGTTGTAGTGTTTTATAGGCGGTAATAATAATAGCCTCATAATGTCGGCTAGTTTTTATTGTTCTGCTTATTTTTTCAGAATTCATCAGGCATACATAGCTACAAAAGTTTGAAAGTCCAAATAAAAGTAGGCTATTTATTCGGGAAAGAAAATTATTATCATCAATTCCAAAATTCATAGTAGATTTTTACCCAACGGAAAAATGTATAGGCCTAATGATCAAAGAGTCAAAAATCAAAAAAACTAGGCTACTGCAGCATTAGTTCTGATGATCATGTAGCAACACAAAAGCTATGAGCAGCGGCTTTTATGCATGTTTACTTCATTCAAGTGGATCGTTGTCAGATAATGACCCGTCAGATGCAGAGTCAACCCAGGACACATCGCTCAGCCCCCCCGTCAGACTCTCCTTCACTCTCTGTGCTGAGCAACTGTAATGCCTGTAGTGGGAAAGGCGTTGCCAATAGCAACATAGAATGTTTATCTAAACGCGTGACATGAACAACGCTAACATGACCCGCTGGCACTTATAGGTATAAATGCCAATTTTTTAAATGAAAAGTCAGAGACTGGGGGGCTTGAATATTATATTGAAAAAAAGATACATACAACCAAAAAACAGCCGCGGGTAAATTTGACCCGTTGGCGGTTCTAGTGTTAAGTTCAACTTTTCGTCAACCGACCAATCACAGCCTGGATGGAGCAGGACATTAAAAAAGGTTTGAGGTACTACAGCAAACTTTCAAATGATGAACAATATGATTACTGACAAGTTAGTCCTTAGCATCAACAAATTAGAGACCGATGTTGAGCCTTTTTCTTGCACAAAGTTTAAATAAATAAATAAAATAAAACCCCACAGAAATGAAACAGCTGTATCTAAATTTAATATTCATCCAGTGGTAAAATAGTATACAATCATATGAACTTCTAATGAATATAGTAATTAATATAGGCTATTACTGTTATTCTTACTGTGTACTATTAACTGAACATTATAGGCTACTCTTTCTTTAATGTTATAATACTATACTGACACACTGATGTGTACTAGTTCCTCCTCTGTGGATAGTGTCTCTGCAGTGGAGTCAGGATGCCAATATTTGCTCCTTCTAGCGTAGAGCAACACGCTCCCTTACTTCTGTTTTACTAGTTATTGGTATAAATATTGTTTATCACTTAACTTTGTTCAAAAACACATTACAACAGTCATTATTTTGTGCATTTTCCTTAATATTCAAGCAAGTAGACATTTTTTCCCATTAAAATCAAGTCGCAATATGACTTTCTCCAAATCGTGCAGCCCTACAAAGAAGTATGACGAAGAGGAGGAAGAAGAAGAGGAAAATTATAGTGTGAGATGGTGGAGGAAGAAGAAGAAATAATGGGCAAAGATGAGCAAAAGTAGCAGGGAGAGGATTATTAAGAGTACAGCCAGAGGTGATGAAGGATAAGGAAGACAAGGAGAGAAAGGAGGAAGGAGAGGAAAAATGAGGGAGAGGAAGACCACCGAGATGTGATGGGGAGGAGGAGCGAAACAGAGGAAGCAGATGAAGAAATGCAAAGTGGATCAGAGGAAGAGACAGAGGAGGAGGAGTAACAGCAAGAGGAGAGGACAGAGAGAAGATGAAGAGGAGGATGAATAAACATGGATAAAGAATAGTTATAATGAATAAAAGAAGGAAGAAGAAAGAGCATTGTGAAAAACAAGAGGGGAGAAAACACAACAGGAGGAGGTGCAGCGATAAAAGGAGAGGAAGAAGAAGAAAGGGAATGTAGAGGAGAGGGAAATAAATAGGAGAATGTAAATAGGGGTATGATGATAAGGAGAGGAGAGTCTTACATGTTCTTGGCGATGAGTTCAGCGTCTTTCTTTCCATCTGACGACACAAAGACAAACCTGTCCTTCATGTTCTGTAAACAGAGACGTACGGTTACTGACGGATCGTTCCATTTATAACAAGGGCGCAACATAAAGGGCATTTATAGGAAAATGTCTCTTACTGCTGTGTTATTTTATAGGTATGCACTTTATTTGCATGTTTACACTTTTTTTCACAGTTGTATTTGCAGTTAAAGTGGTGATCACTGTGGCTGTCTCAGCTGCGGGCGGCGCTGCCTTCTTCAGTTCACTGAGCACCGGCCAACTCGCCACCGTGTACTTCCTTTATTCTTTCAGGTGGGTAAATGTCACATAAGCATACCGTTTGTCAATAATCGAGATCTATTTAGTGTACCGTTATAAATGGTTATTTGGGATATTGGGACGAGTCGGCATAGCTTGCCAGTTACGATGAGTCCAGTTTCACCTGTCAAAGGGAGTCAGATGTAACGTTTGCCTGACTCCACTGATACGTATGTATGTTTAGGATTTATTGTCTTGTTTTGTAGTTGACATTTTCTTTGTTTTATTTTGTTACATCCAAACGTTTAGCTAACAGAATGAAGACCGTTAGAGGCAGATCCTGAACCCTCATTGTTAATAGTCTATTCTATGTTTATTGTGAGTCTGTTATCTAACTGATTTAAAATGAAGATATTTAGGGAATGTACAGTGACTGTATTTTGATATATTGTGATTTTTGTATTATACTGTTATTTTTTAATTTTGTCATTTGTTTGTTCCAACGAAGTTCAGTTGGCAGTTCCAACAAGATGTAAGTAAAACCACTGAGGACCGGCCAACTCTCCACCGTGTACTTCATTTATTCTTTCAGAGTAAATGTATTGTATGACTCGAGTCAACCTGCACTCTATGGGTGTAACACACGCGTAAAAATCCTAATTCATAAAGTAACTGAAGCCGTTAGATAAAGTTAGCGCAGGAAATAGTACAGTATTTCCCCAGACAGGAAGTGATGTTCAGATTTTTCATTTTAATGTGTTTACATGTTGTTTGCTGGCCGACGTTATGTTAAGTCACTGAAACTTCTTCATCACACCTGAACCCGGCTCACAATAATTCTTAAACAACGCCCGCTTCGAGTTGCTGCAGAAAGACAGCGGTCGAAACGAGGGGGAGGAGTTTGTTGTGTACGTAGAGGAGCTGCTTTATTTGCTAACGTTACTCAACAGCTCCGGTCATAAAAAAGTGTTTTTCCATTTGTAGGTTTAGCAAAAAGAGTTACACATGTCACCATTTTCCAGCAGACTTTCATCACAAGTCATTTACATTTATTCATTTAGCTGAAGCGACTTACAGCTGCTGCACATGTCAGAGGTCGCACGCCTCTGGAGCAACGAGGGGTTAAGTGTCTTGCTCAGGGACACATGGTGGACGTGTCACAGTGGGAATTGAACCCAGGTCTCCCATCACCACCCCATGTACACATGAACAAAGGTGGTATATGGTAACACATTGAACCTGTGAGGGGCTCTCACTGAGGATCTCTCTGCCTCCTACTGGGTTTTTCTCTGAGCTGAAGAGCCACAGCTTGAAACCCTTCTCTGCTTTGATATCCCATAGTGCCACGGTGCAGAAATGCATGCTATCAGCAGAACCATATTTCAGCAGAAACCATGGCAACCGAGTTTAGAAATGTGTTATCGCTCTTTGGGTGCCCCGCGTATTCACCGGGACAAGGATCAGGCCTGCAGCTGTGATTTATGACAAACTGTGTGACAACAATATCCTGCTGACACACACACAGTCCTCACCTTATCTGTTACTACGTGTGCGAGAACGAGAGAAAATGCATAAATATGAGTCATTTCCTGCTGCAGCTTAATGGGTAATAGGCTGTGTGTGTGTGTGTGTGTGTGTGTGTGTGTGTGTGTGTGTGCGCTCCAGACGCACACACTGCAAAAGCCACATGAAACACAAATTTGGCTCATAAGTCACCTGCTTTTAGAGCCACCAGGTGTTTAATAAGCACGTTCTTTGAACGCCATCGTGTATTAATTTAACAGCCACGTGTCAAATCTACGCCCGGTCACATGATCATTATAGGCGTCATTTTTTCAGTTCATGGCAACGGGAGCGCCAGCAGCGTGACGAGGCGCTGAGAGTTTTTTTCCGTCACCGAGAGCTGAAAAATTTGCAACTTAGCGCTTGTCACTCACTTTTTACCCAGCTGTCCAATCACAGTAGAGGAGGGGCTGGACAAATACCACACCGTAGCAACGGTTTCTATCCTGGAACAGGGCTTCGTCCAACCTCAGCTCTTGGACCAAACGGCGGTACTCGCTGAGATGTCCTCAGAGCAGCGCTGCAGCTTTTGGACAAATAAACCCCCGTAGTCGGTCTGGATTCTGCTCTGACAGCGACGCCGTTTACCCGCGGGAGGAGCTCAGAGTTATCTGCTTTTATTAAATTAGCTTTTTACTTTAGTTTTTGGGATTTCAACGTTGATTTATCTGCTCAGCAGCTTCCGTGCACATCTGGTTCCACTGTTGTTGTTTGTGAGCAGATGATAGCGAGGTAGGGAAGAAAGAGAGCCACATGTGTATTCTGGCTTTTTGTGGAGCTTTTGCGTTCATCACGGCTCCGTCTAACAGCCGCTCTGGAGTGAAGTCAGAGTCGCATGAATTCTGATCTGTCTGTCCAGACTAGGGGTGGGAATCTCTGGGCACCTCACGATTCGATTACGATTCAGAGGGCTGCGATTCGATGATAAAACGATGATCGATGCATCTTGATGCATCATGTTTTCTATACAGGATCTCTGAATAATTACTAAGCATTAAAATCCGGAAGAAACATCTCCTAGTTAGCTTAAAAGGACTAGTTTGCATCCCCAGTTGACTTTATTAATCTCAGCCCCACGGTCCCTCATTTCTTCATCAGCCAGCTGAAACATAATCAGGATGTTCAGTATGTGTCCAGGACAGAGCTGCACACCAGTTTAGTCTCAGCTTGTGCCTGATGTTTTCAACCCTTGACTAGTAGATTAGTTAGTACTGACATACAGCTGATAATTAATATTACTACATTACTAATTTAGCTAACGTTGCACAAATAAATCAATATTTTTAGTGCCTTTCACGGGACCCAAGGATGCTTTCCACATAGTTATAGAACAACAAAAAGTCATTCAGGACTGAATGCCTTGGTAAAGAGCTGGGTTTAGATTTGTGAAAGTGTCCAGACTCTGTGGGGATGAGGTCCAGAGGGTGGGGGCTGCGACGCTGAGAGCAGGGGAGATGTTAGCTCGCGCTAACAACCTTCACTTTTCCAGTTATTAGGGAAACTACAGACTTTTATTAACGGACACACAGCGACCTCCACTGCACATTTAATACCAGACTGAAAGTTACTGCTAATATTTTTCCTCCGTTAACTTTCACCGTCACGTTCTGCAGCTCTCTCTCTCTCATTCACTCGGCCTCACAAACAGGATACGCAGAGAGCTGCCGAGCGTCACCGCGCTCGCACAGTGTGCGAGTTAAAATCATCACTTGCACATTGATATCAATGATTATGTGACATTTAAGCAGGGTGGTTATTCATTCTGCAGCGGCGGTGGGCCGAACACAGGGGGAACACTGCTGAGTTCCGCCTTTTGCGTTCTGTCAACATTTTTTTAGCGTTTAAATAATCCATTTTTAGACAATAATCGATCATAATCCACGTCCGCATCACGATGCATCTAAGAATCGATTTTTTCTCTCACCCCTAGTCCAGACTGAGCCTAACAAACAGCAAAGTGGAAGGACATTGAAGACATAGTTAGATATTTAATAGGGGTGTGACGAGAAACTTAGAGAAGAGACAAGACTCACTAGAAGGGTCACGAGATTGAGATGAGACGAGATTAGAAACTCCAGGACTTTAATAGCTCCTGTGTTTCAGCAGGTCTTCTGCTCATACATACCTACACCTGGATATCCCTTGTTTAGTTTTGTTGTCACCATTTGTTTAAATAAACCTTTAATTTACCTTCTCCGTTTCCTGAGTCTGTACAATGGCAGACCCTAACATACTAGCGTACTTTCCCCTCCCCCTCACAGTTTCAGTGTTTTATTTCCATACAGCCCTTCTGGGGACCCTATGATACAGACACTGGAGTGCTGTTTTCATTTCATCTATGTAAGTTGTGTCAGTCCCTATTAAAATAAATAAAAATGTTCAACCTTCATGTGTCCCTCCATGAACTTGGTCTTGAGGAGTTCTGCAGCTGACGGTCTGGATGCTGGTGGTTTCTGCAGCATCCTGGTTCAAAGAGAGACAAAACACAGCACATCAGTGTTAGCAACATGTTATATCTTGTTTATTTAATCTGTATGTCACGTAAAAACCACGGTTTGGGGTTAAGGGCGAGTTAGATGCTGGAACCATTTTGCTCACTGCTTCTGTGCAGCGTCTCCAGCTGGTTGCCCAACCTCGACCTCACAGTGACAACAAGACTCCAGGAGGAACTCCGCCAAAAACAACAAACTCTTGTTTTGACATTATTGGACATGCAGGTTCCCGGACTTCACACTTTCTGTGAACTCCAGATGCATCTTCCCGATATTGGCCTCTCTCCACTGGTTACCAGTCAAATACAAAGGATTTTAAGGTGCTGTTAATTATTTTTAAGGCGTTACGTCGATTGGCTCCATTGGATATTTCAGATTTCCTAATCCAGGCCTTTCAGTCTTGGATGAAAACAAAGGGTTCTTTTCGATTGTGGCCCCAAGACTGTGGAATAAACTTCACATTATTATTAAGTGATCCCCAACCACCGAGACTTTTAGGTTTTAAAACGTGTTTTTATTCTTTGGCGCTCGAGTCAGTTCAGGGACAATTGTGCTTACCCGTCTTGTTTGTGTTTATTTATTGTTATGTTTTATTTGATTGGTCTGTTTTTTGGCACTTTGTCCACATCGGTTGTAAATGAGCATTATAAATATATTGACGTGACAACAATCAGTCTACCCATGTAGGTTATACACTGTAGCGTGACAAAGCGTAGTTATTTGACACAAAAGGTAACCTCCAGCGTCCGTATGAGACGCAGCTGTTTGCTAGTGCATTTATTTCCTGACTTAGGTTTAGGCACGAACTTATGTGACGGTTAACCTCTTCCTGTAAAATTCATGCAAAACGCCTCTTCAAGGCAGATCCAGAGTAAATTGAATGTAGTTCTTGAACCATTTGGAGTATCTACCTGGTTTTGGGCTTCTCTGAAAGAGACACTCTGGAGTGTCTAACCCAAAAAGTCAGAATGACTGTAAGAGCTACTGGAATTGATTAATCTAAGTTTAAACACACTAAAACTAATAGATTTTTCATTTCTGCATGAAAATGTTTGCTTACAAATGCCTGCAGACAGCTACAGCTGGGAAACACTGTAGCAGCATAAAGCCTTACCCTGTCCAAGTTTAAATTTCAAAGAATTATTATTTGTCTGAGTGTCTGTCTTAGCGCATTTTTTTCTAAAACAGCCCCGCCCCTTGGCGGCAGGCAGCTGCTGCCGCATCGCTCCGCAGCTCGACACAGACGTGCTTTTTTGCTGCTAGATCATGAACTTCCTACTTAAAGCTGGATATCGTTATTTGCAGAATTTTACTGGCTACAGGAAGTGTGAATACAAGCTATCATAGTTGTTTACATTCAAATCGGCGTTATAATGACATACGAGCCACGACTGCTACTGGATTGGATCGTCTGGACCTTTGACAGTGTAACAAGACCGTTTTTGTTGGAATATAATCGATCGGTGGATTAAGTTACTGTGAGGCTTCAGAGTCGCGTCACTTTTGCTTGTCCTGGTTGGTCTGACAGAGGCGCTGATTGCACCCGCTGTGGTGACTGTATCTTAAAATGTTTGCATTGGTCGAATCACGAGGATTTTAGCTTTCAAACGGTGGATCACATGAGTATGAAGTTAACATAGCAGGACCTGACGGCCTGTGGGCGGGCCGCTGGAACGTTAAGAGCTAGCTTGCAACTTAGCAACCGGAAGCGCTAAGTAGCTTCAAGCGTTTTCGGCCGCCCCAGGCGTCATATATAGACGCGCCTGGAGGCGTCTCATACACGTGCCGAAAGTTACCTCTTACGTCAAATAACTACGCTTTGTCATCCTTTCTCAAATCGTCTGTATGACGCCCTGAGATGAGAACGGCTCACTGTTCATAGGCTGCAGTCTGGTGTTTGTTTTTAAAGACATCTGTTGTTAGCCATGCTGGCGGCGTGACTCTGCGGGTAACGTGTGACTGAAGCCAATAATCCAGAGGGTAGACATTTGGATTCAGCCCATCTGTCAGCCCAGCTTCCTCTGAGGAGCATGTGTTGAGCTCAGTGTTTGCTTTCTTTATTTGCATATTAATAATTCAGTTCCTTGTGAGTTTTCTGACTAAAACAAACCCTCAGCGGCTTCACAGTGAAGCCAGTGTTGTCTCCTCCTCACCTCTGCATGACAGAGTTCAGGTCCTGAGAGTATCCGGCGGGCAGCGCCGGGGTTTCTCCCTCCACGATCTTCATCAGCACAGACAGGAAGTTGGGACCCTGGAAGGCGTGAGTCAGGGAGCACATCTCGTAGAGGAGGCAGCCCAGAGCCCTGCAGGTCAACACATACCAGGAACATCAGTTTCTGTTCTTAAAACTGCTGTGAAGAAATGCTCTGTGCACCAATCACACGTCTAAAACACTCAAATGATTAGTTTGAAGCAATAATCAACTGTACTGAACTGAAACTGAAATCAGAGGTGTCACCTGATCAATGTTCTGTTCTCTCTCTCTGTTAGCTCTGTGTTTGGTCTCCACCATTGGTGTTGCCAGGTCATTTTTCCGGGTTTTGACTTTAGCCCCCCGAATGTAACTCAAGAACAACATCAAAAATATTTCGTATTAATGTAATAATCCTCATGACGCAGCCTGTCTCGCAGGAGGCTACTCGCTTTGAGGTTCATGTAACGTGACCCCCCCACTGACAGTCACATGGTCACACACAATTTTCGGATTTGGTCAAAAAAAATACAGGCCGTTGGTCGACCCCCCAGGCTGCAGGAGGCGCCGTCAGCATTAACCACAGAAGGGGGCAAAACCACAAACCTGTTCACCCTTCGCCTCCATCATCCTGCGAATTTTTCTACGGTAGAGAGAGGAAGTTGCAGTTTGCTCGCTGTGACACGGGAAACATTTAGGTTATGGTAATGTCGTAGCTACGTTATCGTGACTTGACAGTATTTTCTGTCTCCTGCTTATTCAGCAGTTAGATGAAGTGTCAATGCTGATAAATTATCCGAAAGTCCCGCGAGGTGCAGACAACTCGGCACAACACCAGTGAAGCTGGAGCTCCGTCTCTTCAGCAAGTGTTCCTCTTCTGCCACTGCACACACACACGCTACGTCTACACATGCGCACTGACGAACCAGGGTTAGGGTTACAATTTGAATTTATTCACGCACTTTAAAAACATTTACTAGAAGTTTTTTTCTTTTTACATGTTTATTTACATCATTAAACATTAAAATATCGTAATAGGCTGTATATTAACTTATTGGGAGAAAACTGGTAGTTCTTTGTAAAATCAGATGTTGAGCACCCCCATATCGCCAAAATGGCGTGATCCTTGTTTCACTGCGAAGCTTCGACTGTGAGATTGACAGTCGAATCAGGCTCCGCCCATCGAAGCATTTTGACTATTCAGAGTCGAAGTATTTCCAAGTATTGATTTTATGTTTTTTATTTGTATGTTATGTAATTACGAACAATCATTTGTCCACTAAACTGGACATTATGCATCGCTGGCTGTATTTAAACTACAATAAACTATCGCTGAGACTTTCTTGAAAATACTTCATGTGCACTAACTTTTTTGGACGTAAATCAATGGATTTATGTTACACTTGCAGGTTTTGTAACAAAAACCATATTTTGTGCAGATTAGTTCCATTATGTAAGTAAAATTTAGTGTTTTGCAGCAAGTAATAGAACGGTATTCAGGACGGTGGAGCCAATTCCATCACATTTAAGTGAGGATAACACCTTGATGAATGGCTGCCACAAATAGGAGAAACCTCAATTCTAGTTTTCTTTGGCATGCAGAAAGAGCAATAAAAACCCAGGAATAAAATCCTGAGAGGCTTTCATAATTCATTCATGAAACGTTGAGCTGTGGACACAACAAGCGTTGCGAAGATGTCACGTCGGCTGCAGAATTCCTCGAGACCAAGTTCATGGTGGGACACATGAAGGTTGAACATTTTTATTTATTTATGGTTTATTTTAGTAGGGGCTGATATAACTTACATAGATAAACTGAAAACAGCACTCCAACGTCTGTATCAGTGTGTTTAGCAGTTGTTTTGGGGAACTATGACGGCAGAATCTTTACAAATCAAACAACCTGTCCACGTTCTGCCACGGTGCAGACACAGGAAACAGAGGTACTGGGCCCAGATGGTGACATCAAGGTAAAGCTTGGGGTATTTATTGGCATAAACAGTGACATTACAGCTGAGGTGAAGGTTGGCAGTCCAAAAAAACAACAACAACAACAACAATGATATGGTAAAACCGCACACGGAAGATCCAGCAAGAAACCCCAGGAATAATCCAGAGACACCACAGAACACACAGGTAAGAGGTAAGCAGGGCGGAGATAACGAGACACAGGTGAAACACATTAGAGCAGGTGCAAACAATCAACCCCTGAAACAGAAGCAGGGGAGGTCCAGACCATCACCCCAGGACCGTGACACAGTCCATCGATCTGCATTAGCTGCAGTCTGATACTAAAATGAACTCCTGCAGCACCTCTGGACTCAGTTCCAGGTGTTTTTACACTAATAAACGAGTAAATCCTTATTAAGCAACCTCAACAGCAGTTTAATAAAAACAAACTACAGCGCTGCGATGACGCAGATCTGTGTGGTTTGAACGAGGGCAGTGAGGAGGCAGCCGCTGATCTGAGGTCTGATTAAAATGCAGTGAAGCCTCTCAGCTGCGCTCTGACTCTTATCTCGGAGTTAAACCTCTTTGCTCTGTTACAGCATGAAGATTGAAGATGGCGGGGGGGGGGGGGGGGGTTCAGGCCTTTCACAAGATGTCTGATCAAAAACAAAACAGAAGACTCTCGTAGTTCTGTTCATTTGATTTTAGTCTAAGATGGCAGCAGGCTTCTCACAGTTATTAAACGTGGAACTAATTATGTTTAAAGGGGCATTATGGAGTTTCCAGCGGCCACTAGCGGTGCGGTTCTAAGATTGCAACCTGGCGTGTACTCGTACGCACTTGAACTCATGAGCGAGCATAATCCGAAACACAACCGCTTTCATACAGAAATACCACAATAAACTCAGACATGTTCAGGCTCTGTTACTTCAACGTTCCCGTCTCAGAGGCAGCTCATCACCGGCGCCGTACCTTCCATTCAGCGCATCGAGCCGCATTTCGGCACAATCCTCCCGAAAAAAGGCAGAGTGACAGCAGCTATAGACAGACAGAGCTGGAAACTCAGCTGAACTCCCACTGCAACGTTACAGTAATGTTTTTATCAGTTGCAGGTTGAACTAATCCACGCTCGTTACATGATCACGTTACATTTACTGCATTTAGCCGGCGTGCTACATCGTTAGCTCGCCTGCTGCTTTCAGGAACCGTCTTTACTATCGTGGCTGGGCTCAGCAGTGTCAGCACAGCTACATGTACTGGATGATAAGGAAACGGTTAGTGAGCTGGACTGAAAATTAGTTTTATCAAGTTTTATCAAAAGTTTGGAGTGAGATAATGCGTTAAAGGAGGAGCCACTCAAATGTTTGCAGCAGTGGCCCCTCGGCCCCAGCCAATTCACTCAAGAAGTTAGATTTTACCTGTTGTTCATAACTGACCTGAAAAAATAGAAAGTATAACAATAGGTAGATCTGATAAAAGACTATTTTTATATATACATACTAAATACTAAACTAAAAAGACATTTGGCCCCAAACGAGCCCAATGAACAGCAGTGCTGTACACATAGGCCTACAGTAGGATGGCAGAACTTGCCCTATGCATGTAAGCCAAGCTGTGTGTGTGAGTAGGCTTCATGTTTCAGCTTATGAATGGTGTTCATGCAGATTCGATGCTTCGAAACTGTCAATCTCACAGTCGAAGCTTCGAAACAAGGATCACACCATTTTGGCAATATGGGGGTGCTCGACATCTGATTTTACACAGAACTGCCAGTTTTCTCAATTTCAATGTATAATGCTGTAAATAAACTAAAAAGAAAAAAAACTTTCAATACTTTTAAAGTGCGTGAATAAATCCAAATTGTAACCCTGGGTCATCAGTTCATGTGTAGGTGTAGCGTGGATGTGTGCAGTAAATGCTCTGTACTTGTATAGAGTTGTATATACTTTTCTTGTCTCTTCAACAACTCAAAGCGCTTTCACACGACATCTGCATTCACCATTCATACACTGGCTGAACAGCCACCAGGGGCAATTCCGGGTTCAATATCTTGCCCAACACACAGCCTGAAGCCTGAAGCCGGGGATTGAACCGCTGACCTTCCGATTAACGACCAACCTGCTCTACCTGCTGAGCCACAGCCGACCAGTGGTTGCTTTGGCAGCTTCACTGGTGTTGTGCCGAGTTGTCCGCACCTTGCGGGACTTTCGGATAAATTATCACAGTTGATGAACAATTGTTCAAACAGCCGCTACTTCAAATAGACCCGCGAAGAACCGCGCCGTGCAGCACGGTAAAAACTCTGCACAAGACCGGTGAATGGGGAGAGAGAGAGAGAGCTCAACAATAAGCATCAGTTTAGCTTCGGCTCGCAATGGCCCCGCACAAAAACACACATGATTCGACTATCACTCGACTGTAGGCAGGACCTGGCGATTCTGATTCGACTATGTAAATCCTTAAAATCATCATGGACTCTACAAACAACAGACTGGACGCAATAACTAAGGATCTACAGGACATAAAAACAAGCTTGCAATTTACACAAAAAAGACGTGGATGATATTAAAACTGATGTCGCTAAACTGCGACGCCATGCAGTCAGACATCTTTAAAGTTTGTGACAGTTTACTTGCTGTCACTGACAAAATAGAGCATTTGGAGGGTCGATCCAGGCGTAACGACCTCGTTTTTGAGGGAATAGAGGCGGCACCAGGAGAGACCTGGACGGAGGAGAATGTTAAGAAAGTACCGGCAGAGAAATTACAGCTACAGCGAGGGATTGAAGTGGAGAGGGCCCACCGTACAGGGAACAAGGCCAATTGTGGTGAATTTTATGAGGCACAAGGACAAATCTGCCACATTACAATGCAACAAGTCTCTGAAAGGATCCAAAATATTTATCCACGAGGATTTCACAGATACGGTGAGAAAGGGAAAGGGGCGACGATGCCTTTCTACGACATGACAGACTGATCATCCATCCCCGGGCCAGTCCGCCAAAATAGACAAAAAATATTTAATCTCCCAACCAGGTATCCTGAATCGCTGAAGGGTCCATGGTCCATATACTAAACAGGATTATAAGTAAGAAAGAGCACGAGTCTAATTATCCCCAGTTTTTCATTGGTAATGAAAAAAAAACATTGCTAACATGGAGGA